ATCCCGCAACGTAATTTATGCAATTATCTGCAAACGATGCAGCATGGCATACATTGGGGAGACTGGCAGGAAGCTAGCTGATCGTTTCCGGGAACACCTCTCTGATATCGACAAGAAGACACTCAAACCAATCCCTCTTCATTTTAATAGCCCTGACCACAGCGGTAAAGATGACATATCTGTCACAGCATTAAAATCTTGCTCTGGCGATCATACTACCCGCCTCGCTTTGGAAAATCGCCTTATCCACAGCCTTGGCGTTCTTAGTCCAAGAGGTATCAATATCCAACATACCTTCATCTAAATAGTTCTAATCTTATTACATTTTAAATGTTAATTATTTTATTTTATTTCATATTATTACCATATTCTATTTCTTATCAATATCATTTATGTATCATTAACACTTGCATTTCTTTTATTCCTAGTATTGTGACTATTTTTTAGCCATCGTTTATTTTATTTTATTTCATTTATTCCGCATCACATTTTTTAAACGTCGCTCACGTCACCCCTTAGAGATCTACATACTCTCCATTCCTCTTTTGTGTAGTCCACTTGTGTTTGAAAAAGGCTGCCTGGCCGAAACGTTACGTTGTGTTGTTTTGTGCACGTTTTCCTTTTTCCCATTTTGTTGAGCTTTTTAGTCAAATTTCTCTGGAATTCATTGTATTAGCTTGACTGCAGTCACCCCCATAGTTTCACCAGGTTTTCTACGTTCGTTGTTCGTTTCTTTGGCGATTATTTATTTTATTTTTTCCTTTCAGGATTGCAGTCTGTTGAATTATTTAGCATTTCAGGGATGAGAATCAAACATGTTCAAATCCAGGAAGCCTTTTCAACCATATAACCGTAAAGCACTGTTATATTGAAGCACTACGAAACGGTCAGAAATAACCTATAAGCTGAATTGTTTAATTGTTGGTCCACTTCTGGACTTCAATTTTGGTCCAGAACTTGAGTTTTGCGTGCACACCTAACATCCCTAATTAGTATTCTTTAACGATTTACATTGTTAGGGAAGCTGGGGATCCAGTGCAGAGTTCAAATTCTGATAATACCAGTAGCAGTCTGATTGTATGTGCCTCTTGCCTTTCCTCTGAGATTTGAGTGTCGGTCAGATTCCCTCACTTCACGTTGTACAGCTTGTAACGATCTCTTGATGTTTCTTCGTTGTTCACTCGTTCATAAATCCCTCGATAACAACTAGTGTGACATTCATTATTTCAACACCAGATGATGCAGAACCAGCCATTCCGACTGCCTGTTCCTTTCCAGACACGCTTGTATGCCTGGAGAAAATATCCAAAGAACGCTCCACTGATCAGTGTGTCTCATCTGGTTGTTTAAGGTTCTCCAAACTAACCAGAGATTGATTAATCTTGCTCTGGACGACAGACTTACAAGGCAGAAAGCAGATACCTCGTTTAACCACAACCCCCACCTCCTCCACCCCGCCCCAGTGGAGAGGCGTCACCGCTCACGCGAGTCGACAAGACACTTGATGCTGATGAGACAATTGGCCAAGGAGGATGAGGTGAAAGTTCATTGAAAGGGGAGGCTACTGCTAAAAATGATATTATCTATTGCAGCTATACTACTTCTAATCACCCGTTGCAGTCGACAACTTCACGAACATCCTTAGTGCTTTCTAAATCGTTGTGTACTTTTTTTGGAAGTCATTTATACTGCAAGCATAACTTGTGAATACATGAGAACATAATTGTAAGTTGTCCAGTAAAGCCTAGTCGAAGTCTACTTGACTTGAATCTTGATGTTGTTGTTTTTTTTAATTTTTGTTGTTGGTCAGCTTTCAGTCTGCCTGTTGACTTCTTGAAGTTGAAGCATCGTTCATAGATTAAAATGAATGTATCCCTGATCACTAATCTGATGTTTGCGTGTTCTTCTTTCGCGCTAATCCTCACTACTGATAGGCTCTCAACTAAGTCACGCCGAGTCGCCATGTTATTGCAGGTGGGTCACCCCAGAACAGTGTTACTAGACAGTCTTCACACTGGACCCCCCCCCCCCCCCAGGGATCTAAGAAAGGCAGACCAACGAACACACATAGAATGGAATAAGTGTAGACTATAAAGAGTGAAGTTAAAAGGGTGGAAGTGGGTGGACATAGGGTGATGCAGAACCAGCCATTCTGTCTTGCCTGTTCCATTCCGAACATGCTGGCGAAAATATCCAAAGAAAGCTCCATTGATCAATGTGCCCCTCTGGACTGTTTACCAAACTATCCTTCTGCTTCTTCTTCTTCTTCGTGGTCACCAGATGTAAACTCTGGTAGAAAGTTCTAGTTGTTCATCCACTTCTGGACTGCAGTCCTGTTCCAAAACCTGAGTGTTGCATGTGCATCCGTTTTACAGATCTTACTCATTTGTGTGCAGACTGCTGGTTTCTTGCCTCTCAGGCAGATGCACTCCAACTTCGAAGGAAGCTCCCAATTAGTCGACTCTTACAACATGCTTTTGGGTAAGCAGTGAGTCTGTTCTTGTTTTCCCTATAGTAGGGCCCCGGAACCCACACAGAGATACCAAACTATCCAGAGATTGACCAATCTTGACGTTAAAAGGGTTGGAGTGGGTGAATATGGGGTGAGCTGCATGCGATAGCAAAGTATTGGGTGCCCATGTCTTTAGTTTTACTCGGTGTGTTTGTTAGTCTACCTATCTTTCTATGCCCTTGTGGGATGCAGGTTTCAGAGTAAATACTCTAGTTATATTATTCTGAGGTTTTCTCTGGGTGTGTCCTCTCGGCTCTCCTTGCAATAATGGTCGCTAGTTGGATGGCGACGGCCGCTTAGTCGCAGTTCAGTCCCCTGGCTGCAGTGCAATTACGGAGTGGAAAAGAGGGAACGACACAAATGACATAATTAGGGGTAGGGTTAGGGTTAGGGTAGGGTTAGGTTAATGTGAGTCGCAGCGGGTGGTCTAGACGCCATGTTGAACTCACTGTGTTTTGTGATTCGTGCCTTGTCCACTCCATACTTGCACTGCAGCCAGGGGACTGAACACCGACTACGCGGCCGTCGCCGTCCAAGTAGTGACCGTTATTGCAAGGAGAACCGCCCTCTCCAACGCCAGCATCTTTTCTTCACCTCTTGATTCAGTGGAATTTGTTTAGTTCTGTCCTAAAGCTTCACAAAAGGGATTCTATCAAACCATTTAACTCCCTCTGTTCTCTCTTGTTGTACCCCACCAAGACATCACACAAGCGATAAACACCTGTGACACAAAGTGCCACCATGCGGATGAGGATCACCCAAGGAGAGATCCGAGAAACCACTTTCAGCCGTTAGGCCATATTTATGGCCAGGCTATATTAAGGGGCCCCCAGCGAAAGCCTGTTGGGGCTTTAAATAATGACAAATTGCATCCCACATGAGGACGACTATATAAATTGATTTAAAAAAAAACTCCGTCTATTCTGCGCAGGTACTAGTTAATGAATGTAGAAAGTTTATTAGTAATTGTATTAAATGTTTGCATCCACTAGTTTTTTTTTTTTTTTAAATGTATAATGTTAACTTGTAGTAAAGCAAACCAAGTATTGAAACAGCTAGGTCCGTCTCACTCTCCCCCCTCTTCCCTTTCCCTTTTCCCTTCCCCACAACATAAGACAATCACAGTCAGTGTAAAGAAATATTTCACAGAAAGCATATTCATTGCCACTCTATGCTACCTATACCAGACATTGTCGGACACAACAAACCAGAAAAGATGATCAGTTACCATGGAAAGGAGATATCTGAGAAAGGCTGCAGGAGTGACCAAAAGAGAGCAAATCAGAAATGACGTCATAAGAGAACAAGTCAGCACATAACCACTTCTTCTTCTTCTTCTTCTTCTTCTTCTTCTTCTTCTTCTCCTCCTCCTCCTCTTCCTCCTCCTCCTTCTTCTTCTTCTCCTTCTTCTTCTTCTTCTTCTTCTTCTCCTTCTTCTTCTTCTTCTTCGTCTTCGTCTTCTTCCTTGTAATTCATTGAGCGACCGTACAGTTTGGCTTTATCCGGTGTTTCTCTTGGCCAAAATGTTTGCCTTGATATGTTGTATTTGGGACAGTCTTGAAGGATGTAATCTGTTGTCTTCCCTGCCAATCCCCATGTGCACATGGCTGATTCACCAATCTGTCATTTTCTGGACATGTGACTGCAAAGTCGATTGTGCTCTATTCTACGGTGTAGAACAATGACTTGCTCTGATCTGTCCATAATATTGTAATCTTCTTATAACCAATTGTGAACTACATACGGAGACAGCATCAAATGGTCTGTCCACTTAGAGAGAATTCCTTATGATGCTATACCCTACAAGGCATACACAAAAAGAGGTGGAGGATGTAGAGCACAAGGTAGGACAATAATAAGATGAAAAGATAACATCAGAGAAACTCTACAACAGGAGACATGTCTATGGTCAAGTGCAGCCAGGAGAGCAAAAAGCAGAACCTTTTATTTCCCTCGACACCCGAAGTGGTCAAAGAGCAAATCAAGAAGAAGGAGAAGAAGGAGACCTATGCATTGATTCAGTTTGGTTGAAGGCCTGTTATTGAATGAGGATGATTCCATGTGGGTTCTGGGACCCCATTTTATTAGAATGAAGGAATAGACCCACTGCTTCCACCTCACATTCCCCACCACCACCACTACCACCCCTGCCACCACTACCACTACCACCACTACCACCACCACCACTACCACAACCATCACTACCTCACAACTACCACCACCATCACTACCACCACCACTACCACCACCACCACTAGCACCACCACTATCACCACCACCACTACCACCACCACCCCTAGCATCACCACTACCACCACCACCACTACCACCACCACCCCTAGCATCACCACTAACACCACCACCACTATCACCACCACTACCACCACCACTACCACCACCACTACCACCACCAGCAAGCATGTTGTAAGCATGTGCGGCAACAGAAGATTTTGTTTTCTCTGCCTAGATTACAGCTTCCACTGAGAGAATGGGCAAACCGGATGCGGGTCGCAAACCAGTGGCTTGGGATGCCGTGGTGTTGACATGCTCTAGTAAAGAGTGGACTCAGGCGCTGCAGCAAGGTGAGAGCAGTCAGCTTACGTGTTCATCTGGGCATATACAAATGTTCCATAATTGTGCCGTCATCATTCAATGTCATTATCACTGTCATCATCATCATCAATATCACTGTCATTATCACTTTTGTCACCAGCATCAACATCACTGTCATTATCACTGTTGTCACCAGCATCAACATCACTGTCATTATCACTGTTGTCGCCAGCATCAACATCACTGTCATTATCACTGTTGTCACCAGCATCAACATCACTATCATTATCACTGTCATCATCAACATCACTAGTATTATCACAGTCATCATCAACATCACTGTCATTATCGCTGTCATCATAATCATCATCACTGTCATTATCACTGTCATCATCATCATTATCAACATCACTGTCAATATCACTGTCATCATAATCACCAAAATCAACATCACTGTCATTATCACTGTCATCATTATCACCAAAATCTACATGATTGTCATTATCACTGTCATTATCATCACCAAAATCAACATCACCTTCTTCATCATCATCCCCATCATCAATATCACTGTCATCATCATCACCATTACTAACATCAATGCCACAGTCATCATCATCACCACCAGCATCAACACCGCCCATGCCAGTCAACAGTACACTTGATGATGATGTTTCATTGTGCTGCCTTGTTACTCTAGAGCTGGACATCTATTATGCCAAGGGTTACCTAGGAAAAGACCTCATTCACCTGGTGGTAGAAGACCCCAAGTCCAACGTTGGCAGCGGAGGAGCAACACTCAACGCTCTTCTGACCGTGGTGGAGTACATGAGTGCTCGAAGAGGGTTTACGGTAATATGTTTGTAAATGTTTTTTCTTTTTTTTTATGTGGCTATTATATCATGGTCTGTGTTTTACAAAGGCCAGTGTATAAATCGTCTTCTTTTTCGCGTTCACCAGCGGAAATGTCTGGTTGTGTGTCCATCTCCGGACATTAGTCTTGTTCCAGAACCTGAGTGTTGTATGCACATCTGTTTTACAGGTCTGACTTAGTAATGTATAAATTAGACTTAAGTGTTTCTATGGCCTGTGCAGTGCTGAATTCAAGCATAAGCTAACTAAGGGCCTCATAGTCTGCAAGGGCCTCAACAAATTCCTTTTTGGTTTTTAAAAAATGTAATTTCTATTTCATAGAGCCCTTAGGAGGATTATTCAATATCTGTGATTTTGCAGACACATTCTTTATTTTACTAACAACTAAACAACAGTATGTCTTCATCTTGTATTTAAAAGACATGCATAAATATAATGTATATTTAGAAGGGGGAATCTGAGCACCAGTGGACTTGTCAGGAGTGCCGTGAAGATAACCCAAATCATAACTCATAACTCATTCAGTGTCATTATCAGTGTCATTATCAGTGTAATTATCAGTGTCATTATCAAAGAGTTTTTTTCTGTGTGATACAAGAACCTGTGTGTTACAAGAACCTGTGTGTTACAAGAACCTGCGTGTTACAAGAACCTGCATGTTACAAGAACCTGCGTGTTACAAGAACCTGCGTGTTACAAGAACCTGCATGTTACAAGAACCTGTGTGTTACAAGAACCTGCATGTTACAAGAACCTGTGTGTTACAAGAACCTGTGTGTTACAAGAACCTGTGTGTTATAAGAACCTGTGTGTTACAAGAACCTGCGTGTTACAAGAACCTGCGTGTTACAAGAACCTATATGTTACAAGAACCTGTGTGTTACAAGAACCTGTGTGTTACAAGAACCTGTGTGTTACAAGAACCTGTGTGTTACAAGAACCTGTGTGTTACAAGAACCTATATGTTACAAGAACCTGTGTGTTACAAGAACCTGTGTGTTACAAGAACCTGTGTGTTACAAGAACCTGTGTGTTACAAGAACCTGTGTGTTACAAGAACCTGTGTGTTACAAGAACCTGTGTGTTACAAGAACCTATATGTTACAAGAACCTGTGTGTTACAAGAACCTGTGTGTTACAAGAACCTGTGTGTTACAAGAACCTATATGTTACAAGAACCTATATGTTACAAGAACCTGTGTGTTACAAGAACCTGTGTGTTACAAGAACCTGTGTGTTACAAGAACCTATATGTTACAAGAACCTATATGTTACAAGAACCTGTGTGTTACAAGAACCTTTGTGTTACAAGAACCTATATGTTACAAGAACCTATATGTTACAAGAACCTATATGTTACAAGAACCTGTGTGTTACAAGAACCTGTGTGTTACAAGAACCTGTGTGTTACAAGAACCTATATGTTACAAGAACCTATATGTTACAAGAACCTGTGTGTTACAAGAACCTGTGTGTTACAAGAACCTGTGTGTTACAAGAACCTATCTGTTACAAGAACCTATCTGTTACAAGAACCTGTGTGTTACAAGAACCTATCTGTTACAAGAGACTTTGTGTTACAAGAACCTGTGTGTTACAAGAACCTGTGTGTTACAAGAACCTATCTGTTACAAGAACCTATCTGTTACAAGAACCTGTGTGTTACAAGAACCTATCTGTTACAAGAGACTTTGTGTTACAAGAACCTGTGTGTTAGAATAGAGGTTAGCCACGAATATATTGAATAAGTGGCCGTGGACCAAAACAGGTGATGGTCATTGAGAGGAGGCGAGTTAGTTGGTGGGACAGCTAACTCTATAAAATACCTCAAAACTCTACGACATGGCCATCGGCGGGTAAGAGGCGCCATAACCTCTCCCCCCTGCTGCCTTGCAGGGTAAGTCTTTTTAGACAAAGTCAAACCATATACAAACCGGCGGAAGGCAAGGGGAAACCACCGCTGTACCATCCCAAGAAAATCATGCCTCAAAATAATACGTATTCAGATAACGACGTGAATGGGGATTCCGGTGGAATCACCTCGTCCGGTAGGGAGCATCATGTTCTACGGGTGATACCCGACCGTCATCCAGCTACTGTAAATGGTAGAAACATCATGAACATTGGTACATGGAATGTCAGAACACTCGTGCAAAACGGAAAACTGGATAACATCAAGATGGAAATGAAGAGAATGAACATCAACATACTAGGAATTAGTGAAATGCGATGGCCAGGAGCAGGGGAAAAGTATTCAGATCAGCACAGAATTATCTACTCGGGAGGGAAAGAATATAGCAAGGGAGTTGGTATTATTTTGGATCCAAAGAACTCAAAAACTGTTAAAGGATTTTGGACAATATCAGATAGAGTACTATTAGTAAAACTTCGCGGCAGACCGTTTGACATCAACTTAGTACAGATTTATGCCCCAACAGCAGATAGTTCAGAGGAAGACATTGACGCATTTTATGATGAGTTAGACATGGCTGTTGATCAATGCAAAAATTGTGAAGTAACAATGGTACTTGGAGATTTCAACGCAAAAGTAGGAAGTGAAAAAGTGTACGGAATAACGGGTGGATATGGACTAGGAGAAAAGAATGTGAGAGGTGACAGATTAATAGCATGGGCTGAGTCGCGCAGCATGATAATAGGTAACACCTGGTTTAAACACCATCCTCGAAGATTGTGGACTTGGAAAAGTCATGGTGATAATGTCCGCAATCAGATTGATTATATTTTGATTTCAAGAAGATTTCAGAGCAGCTTAGTTGGAGCTAAAACTAGACCAGGGGCAGACTGCTTTAGTGACCATGTTCCAGTTGTAGGGAAAATTAGAATAAAACTAAAGAACATTAGAAAAACATCACAGAACATCAAGTTAAATTTAGGAATTCTTAGAACGGATAAAGAAATTAAGGAACAGTACAACGTCACTGTACAAAACCGGTATAATGCAATGGAAATTATACAAACAATTATGAACAGTGGGATATGTTGCGTGAGTCAATTCAGCAGACATCAAAAGAGACAATCCCACCAACCCATACAGTTGCAAAAAAAGAAATGGATGTCAACCGAAATTCTGCAGTTGATGGATGAAAGAAGGAAGAAAAAGAATGATAAAGAAGAATACTCTAGAATACAAAAAGAAATAGTGAACAAATGCAAAGTGGCTAAAGAAGCCTGGCTGAATCAAATGTGTACAGAGATTGGGGAAAATCACGGGAAAGACTCACATTCCATGTACCAACAGATAAATATGTTAACAGGAAAGATGACACGTAACAGCACTGGATGTTTGATATCAAAGGATGGTGACTTATTAATGGGACATAGTAATATAATTAACAGATGGACAGAGTATATAGGGGAATTGTATGATGATAATAGACCAGACGTAAAACTGCAGAACAACAATGATGGTCCACCAATAATGACTGCAGAAGTTGAGGATGCAATACATCATATGAAGAAAGGAAAAGCACCCAGGCCAGACAACATCTCACTGGAAGAAATCGAAGCACTGGGAGATTTTGGAATTGAAATAATAACTAAACTTTTAAATGATATTTATAATAGTGGGTATATTCTAAATGACCTTTTAAATCCATATTTATAGCTCTGCCGAAGAAACCAGGCACTATAAATTGTGAAGACCATCGCACAATAAGTCTTATGAGTCACATGACTAAGATTTTACTGAGAATAATTATGAGAAGAATAAGAAACAAAATTAAACCAGAAATCAGCGATGAACAATGTGGATTTGTAGAAGGAAAAGGTACAAACAATGCCATATACATCCTAAGGACATTGTCAGAAAGAGCTATAGAAGTAAAGACTGATTTGTACTTATGCTTCATAGACTATACAAAAGCATTTGACTGTGTGAAGCATGAAGAAGTAATCAAACTGTTAGAAAAATTAAACATTGATGGGAAAGATCTAAGAATAATAAAGAATATGTATTGGCAGCAAACAGCAGCTATAAGAATTAACAACTGTTTAGGTACATTTCAAAGCATAAAGAGGGGCGTACGACAAGGATGTGTACTTTCACCTGATTTGTTTTCAATATACAGTGAATATATTATGAGATCTTTAATTGATATGCCCGGAATCGTGGTTGGTGGGCACAATATAAACAATTTACGTTATGCTGATGACACAGTCTTGATAGCAACAAGTCAGAAAGAATTACAGGAAATGATAGACATTGTGGTGTTAGAAAGTGGAAGAATGGGTCTCAGTTTGAATAATGGGAAGACAGAAGTAATGGTGGTATCAAAGAAACAAATTATTCCTAAATGTGTAATAAAAGTCAATGGTGTTATTTTAAGACAAGTACAGAAATTTAAGTATCTGGGCACATGGATAACATCAGATGGAAGATGCATAACTGAAATAAGAAACAGAATTGGACAGGCAAAAACTGCATTTTATAAAATGAAAAACATCTTGTGCAATATATCCTTGTCATTGAGAGTTAGAAAAAGAATTCTTGCTTGCTACATACATCCAGTTTTAACATATGGATGTGAATCCTGGACAATCGGTAGGCAGGCCAAACAATTTTTAGAAGCCTCAGAGATGTGGTTTTACAGAAGAATGCTTAGAATACCTTGGACAGCCAAAAAGAGCAACCAAGAGGTTTTAAAAGAGGCGGGAGACCGAAGACAACTTATCACTGACATCAGAAGGAGACAGTCATCATTTTTCGGCCATGTTATGAGAAGAGGGAAAATAGAACATGTTGTGACCACTGGAAAGATCTGTGGAAGGAGGGATAGAGGAAGACAACGAGAGAAGATGCTTGACAGTCTTGTTGCATGGCATGGAGGTGTGTCGGCACACGAACTGATACATGCTGCAGGAGATCGCAGATTATGGAGAGGCATGATCGCCCACGCCAGTCGGCAAGGCACCTGATGATGATGATGATGATGATGTGTGTTAGAAGTACCTGCGTGTTACAAGAACCTGCATGTTACAAGAACCTTAGTGTTACAAGAACCTATTTGTTACTGAGACCTAAATGTTTCCAATTGAGATCCTGTTCTACATTTGGTGATAGAAAGGCAGAGAAAGAAGAAGACCGTTTCTCAGATATTTGTATTTTTATATTTCCGTAGACTATAAACGCTGATGTTTTACTGGGAGCACGGATTCTGATCATGCATACTGTAAGTACTCATACACCACTTTGATAATGTTGTTGTGGTTGTTGTTTTTATCAATCCAGCTAGGCTTCCATTTTGGGGTGGGGGGGGGGGGGGACAAAGTGACTACCATACATGCCCTTTCCAGCCCTACACATCTGATTCTAGCAAACCCATAGTTAGTCACCATTTTCAAAATGTTTGTTAATCGGCTGTGGTGGGTCTTTTTCCCCCCTCAAAGCGGAGCCATAGAACCCACTTGGGGAATGTTTAACTCTTTTACTCCCAAGGAACGCACCAGACGTTCACAGGTTCCTACCTAGAAGCCCAGTGAACACAAGATGTGCTGATACCCAGTGAACACAAGTTCTGCTGATATTACACAGCTTCTTAGGCCTCTGATGCCAAACCCCCCAGGACTGAAAGAGTTAAACAAGACCTGGTTATATCTTTATATGCCTGTCCACAAATGTGAAGCTGCAGTTCTGGTCCTGCACACCCTGCTGGTTTCTAAGACTGGAGAAGGCAAGAAAAGCTCTGCAGCACACTCTCCTAGGAGATTGTACTTTGGTACTCTGTCAGTAGAGAGCCGCAGTAGGGTTGTGGCCACACACTGGTTTGCCAGTTCAAAGGTCACAGATCCAAATACGCATTGATGCAGATTTTTTTGTTTGGGTTTTTCAAAACTGACCCTAGCTGCCATGTCAACCCAGCCTAAAATGGGTACCAGGTAATGACCTGGGAAGTCTTCTTCTTCTTCTTTGCGTTCACCAGCTGTACACTCTGGCGGAAAGTTCTGGTTGCTCGTCCACTACTGAACTGCAGTCCTGCTCCAGAACCTGAGTGTTGCGTGTGCATCGGTTTTACAGATCTCATTCTCTTGAATACAGACTGTTGGTTCTTGCCTCTCTGGCAGATGCACTCCGACTTCAAAGGAAGCTCCCCAATTAGTCGACTCTTACGACATGCTTTTGGGGAGGCAGTGGGTCTATTCTTTTTTTCCCCTCAGTGGGGCCCCGGAACCCACACAGGGGACCTGGGAAGTAAAGGCGGCTGGCATGATATTGACCACATAACCTGTCGAGGGCTTCTTTCTTCTTCTTTGTCTTTTATTGCCTTACTGATACCAGGTCAAGTGGTTTTCTGTGTTTATCTTGCACTTTTCGGGTGGCGTAGGTGATGGATTTCTTCATCTTGTTGCAGGTCTCAGCTACACTTTTTATCCATCTCTTTCTTGGTCTTCCCCTTGCCTTTCTCCCAGATGTTCTACTGTTTAAAAAAAAAAAAAATCTCATGCAGTCTGGTCTGGCTGACTGACCTGTAAAAATGCTGAGTTGAGTCAAGAATTGACATCATAGCACTCGGGGCATTCCCATGCGCGCTCCGTCATCTTCAGCAGTCAGCGCAGAGTTCCAATACTGATGATACCAGTCACAATCTGCTTATATATCTGTTCTGTAAAAATTTAGGTCTAGCAAAATACACCTGAGGAATGACTGGTGTGACAGTAGCTCTGTTCCTTGACTTGCTTGGTCAGAAAGAAAGTTTTCTTCACTCTTATGCATGCAAAACCTCTTCTGAGCAGAAGTTGCCTGAACGCCAGTGCCTCAGACTTTGTCATCATCATCATCAATTACCACTTCCGCTGTTAAGCATTATGGAGAGGTTCAGTTTGCGATTAACTGCTTGATGGGCAGCAATGGCTATTGTCATTCCTCGTCAATTTAGAAACTCTTTAACGTCATAAATCTATGTTCTCTTAGGGCTGCCTCTTGCTTTCATTTCAGATCTTTTCATGTGTAGCGCCTGTGTTGGTAGTTGTTCTGGCTGCATTCTTAGTAGATGACCAAACCATTTGATCTTCTGTTTCTCAATGAATTTGCTGCATGGTGTTGTTCCTTCAGTCTGTCTGATAGTATAATTTCTAACTTTGTCTAGGATGGTTGGGTTGATGGCATTTCTTAGACTTTAACACTGTGTGTCCCTGGGTCACCAGTTGCTGTTGACTGTCTGATCGGTTCTCTCCTGATTTGATGGTCAGATGCAATTGACTTCATGGCTGCACTCCTAAGGCTTGTCCAATCAGTCAAGTTCTGTATCCAGGTCTTTCTTGATCTACCTATTCTTCTCTTCCCCTCTACTGAGCCCTGTAGTATTGTTTGTAGAGGCCGTTTGAACTTATTTCATATCCATACTGTTTCATTTTCCACCTTTTCAATGTAGTTAAAAGAAGTTCATAGTTGCCTCCGACTTAATAGTCAAAATTTGTCTTCATGGTCGCATTTACTGGCTACATACTCTGGCAGGAAGTTCTGGTTGTTCATCTACTTCTGGACTTTAGTCTTGTTCCAGAACCTTAGTTTTGCCTGCACATCCATTTGACAGATTTGGCTTATATGTATACAGTCTGTGGGTTCCTCGCCTCTCAGGCAGATACACTCTGACTTCAGTAGAAACGTACCTGATCAGTTGACTCTTACAACATGCTTGTTAGAAGGGCGATGCATCTGTTCTTTTTTTTTTTCATTTTCATCCACAATGGAACCCTAGAACCCACACAGTAAAGTCAAAATTCAATGGAGCTATTCCCCCCCCCCCTCCCTCAGCGGAACCCTAGAACCCGCACAGTAAAGTCAAAATTCAATGGAGCTATTCCCCCCCCCCCCCCTCCCACAGCGGAACCCTATAACCCACACGGTAAAGTCAAAATTCAATGGAGCTATTCCCCCCCACAGCGGAGCCCTAGAACCTGCAGAGAAAAGTTGGTCTGTCCCCCCCTCCACCTTTCCCTTTCCCCCAACAATGGGGCCCCAGAACCCACACCAGGAGGCAAAATTCAGTCTTCAGGAAAAATCACTAACCAAACAGTCATCCTGTATTGTCTTTAGGGACGAAGCTACACCTACGAGGCTTGCAGTCGGCCCTTTGTCACTTTACCCGCAGTTCGAGACGCCCCAGAGTATGATGGTCTTGTTTTTAACTTTGACCTGATATTCTCCATTATCACAAAAAAGGTAAGGGTCAGTGTGTGTTCACTATAGAAATTAACAAGGAAATATAATGCATAATGTGGTGAATTTATGTTCTGAAGAACAATTTGCTTTCCTCTGGCAAATGTTTTTTGTTTTTCGTCTAAATTTTTTTTTTTTATGTTCAGTTAATCAGAATCCGTTTATCACAAAGTTTCATATATGCCAACGGTGAAATATATCTTGACTGTATAATTTGATCTGATTAAGGCAAACTTTTTTCAAATATCTGGACAGTCGCAATAACATGCTTCGTCAATAGTAAAATGTACATTAACACTGATTTATCAACTTTACGGGGGGGTGTCACATTTCTGTCATATTATATTTCATTCTTATATTGTACATTGTAAATTCATTACCATAAACATAACTCCTATCCAGATAAGATGAATTTCTGATAAGAAGAATTATTTCTTGGGTCCCTGATAAGTTCTCCTTATCAGGTCTGCACTGTGCCCTTCATTCCCATATGGACCAAAGACCTGCAACCATCTCATGGCAAGGACACGTAAAGAAAACCTGTTTATAGTGAGGTCCTCTGTGTGTGTATGAGTGAGCGTGTGTGTACCTGTGAGTATATATTCACACATATGTATATATATATATATATATATACATCATCATCATCAGGTGCCTTGCCAACTGGCGTGGGCAATCATGCCTCTCCATAATCTGCGATCTCCTGCAGCATGTATCAGTTCGTGTGCCGACACTCCTCCATGCCATGCAATAAGACTGTCAAGCATTTTCTCTCGTTGTCTTCCTCTATCCCTCCTTCCACAGATCTTTCCAGTGGTCACAACATGTTCTATTTTCCCTCTTCTCATAACATGGCCGAAAAATGATGACTGTCTCATTCTGATGTTTGTGATAAGTTGACTTCCGGCTCCCGCCTCTTTCAAAACCTCTTGGTTGCTCTTTTTGGCTGTCCAAGGTATTCTTCTGTAAAAGCACATCTCTGAGGCCTCAAGAAATTGTTTGGCCTGCCTACCGATTGTCCAGGATTCACATCCATATGTTAAAACTGGATGTATGTAGCAAGCAAGAATGTTTTTTCTAACTCTCAATGACAAGGATATATTGCACGAGATGTTTTTCATTTTATAAAATGCGGTTTTTGCCTGTCCTATTCTGTTTCTTATCTCAGTTATGCATCTTCCATCTGATGTTATCCATGTGCCCAGATACTTAAATTTCTGTACTTGTCCTAAATTACCACCATCGACTTTTATTACACATTTAGGAATGATTCGTTTCTTTGATACCACCATTACTTTTGTCTTCCCATTATTCAAACTGAGGCCCATTCTTCCACTTTCTAACACCACAATGTCTATCATTTCCTGTAGTTCTTTCTGACTTGTTGCTATCAAGACTGTGTCATCAGCATAACGTAAATTGTTCATATTGTGCCCACCAACCACAATTCCGGGCATATCAATTAAAGATCTCATTATATATTCACTGTATATTGAAAACAAATCAGGTGACAGTACACATCCTTATATATATATATCTGTGTGTGCGTGCGTGCGTGAGTGCATGCGTGCGCGCAAATGAATGTGTATTTGTCTATTAAAGAATGTGTATGTTTGATTATGCATGACTGAGTATGTGTGTGTATTTATGTGTGTGTATTTATGTTTATGTACATGTGTGGCATAGAAAGATTCTCAGAATATCTTGGACAAACAAGAGGAGAAACACCGACATCTTGGAAGATCTGAACATCAAGGAAGATTGGCTAATAAACAGCATCCTGTCTCGGAAGCTGAAATATTTTGGTCATATCAAGCCCTACGACGGATTGGAAAAAAATTATAGCAGAAGGCATGGTACCAGGAAGGAGGGGCAGAGGCCGACCGACACGGGCACAGGATATAAGTGACCCCTTGTGTTTAAAAGTACATGAGCGACATTCTGCAAAGGACCTGCTACGTGATGATGATGACATGTGTGGGAGTGATTTATATGAGTGTTTGGATGAAATATTTTGGTCATATCAAGCCCTACGACGGATTGGAAAAAAATTATAGCAGAAGGCATGGTACCAGGAAGGAGGGGCAGAGGCCGACCGACACGGGCACAGGATATAAGTGACCCCTTGTGTTTAAAAGTACATGAGCGACATTCTGCAAAGGACCTGCTACGTGATGATGATGACATGTGTGGGAGTGATTTATATGAGTGTTTGGATGTGATGAGTAAGCACATAGGACATGCATAAATGTGTATATGTGTGTGTGTGTGTGTATGTATGTGTTTATATATGAGTATCTGTATGTATGTGTATGTATGCGTGTGTATATGTGAGCATATGAGCATGTATAGGTGTGACTTGTATGTATTTGTGTGTGTGTGTGTGTGAATCTCAGAGCAATATGTATTTTGTGTATATGTCTGTACTCATACTATGTATTTTGTGTGTGTGTGTGTATCTCAGAGCAATATGTATTTTGTGTGTGTGTGTCTGTACTCAGGCTATGTATTTTGTGTGTGTGTCTGTACTCAGGCTATGTATTTTGTGTGTGTGTCAGTACTCATACTATGTATTTTGTGTGTGTGTCAGTACTCATACTATGTATTTTCTGTGTGTGTCTGTACTCATACTATGTATTTTCTGTGTGTGTCTGTACTCATACTATGTATTTTCTGTGTGTGTCAGTACTCATACTATGTATTTTCTGTGTGTGTCTGTACTCATACTATGTATTTTCTGTGTGTGTCTGTACTCATACTATGTATTGTGTGTGTTTGTGTGTGTGTGTGTGTCTGTACACATACTATGTATTTTGTGTGTGTGTGTGTGTGTGTGTGTCTGTACTCAGGTTATGTATTTTGCCTTACGAATTACCATGGAGAAAATCATTTAACTTTTTCATTCCCATGAGACACATGAGGTGTCATTGGCTATACTCCACCAAGTTGTGCAGAGCCAGCCAATCTGTCCGCCTGTTTATTCCCCAACACACCGGCATAACCTGGAGAAAAGATCCAAACAATGCTTTTTATCTGTGACCTCTGAAGCAAAGCTTGCCACTCTGTATAAGCATTCCTGTCCTCACCTTCCTCAGCATGTTTTCTGAATCGGTTACAATCACGATGTGTGAGGATGTGTGTGTCATGTTCTCTAGCCAGCGAAAAGCTGCAGTGACCACCTCCACTTTCATTCTGAAGCTGAATCTGAATAGTAACCACTAAACGTATAGTGGGTTTTCTTGGTTGAAAACATAATTTTATTTAAAATCACCAGATTGCTGTTTTTTCAAAACCTGGCATATGGGTTTGTAGCACAGATATTGTGGTTTCAGTGCCAGATAATCTTGGTAAGTGTTTCCATACATCTTTGTTTTTTTTTTCATCATCCTAATGTTCTGTGCTGACAGGCATAGACTGTCATGTTTTGCCATATCACATAATCACCAGAATCGTGGGTAAAGTCAGTGCTCTTGTCTAGCCCCCATCCATTAGGCCAGGCTATCCAAATATTTATCTCTTTGCCTTTCCCTTTATTATTATTAACAATGAAATGAGGTACGAGTGAAAAACTATGCAAGTAGTGGAGTGGAAGTGCAGAATTTCAGACGGGCCTGCACAAACTGTTCTCAACCCTTTATAAATAAAGTTTGTTCATTCGTTCATTTCCTCTTGTAAGAAACTGGATGTAGGAGAAAACCATTTTAAGATCAAAATTGATTGAAATGTACAGGAGACAGAAGGTTGTGAATAGACATGACTACCAACATCACATGGCACGAACTATGGAAGATCATCTGTGTCAAAATTGATTGAAAAGTACAGGAGACATAAGGCTGTGGATAGACATGACTACAACATCACATGGCACGAACTATGGAAGATCATCTGTGTCAAAATTGATTGAAAAGTACAGGAGAGAGAAGACTGTGGATAGACATGACTACAACATCACATGGCACGGACTATGGAAGATCATTTGTGTCAAAATTGATTGATCTAGCCACTACGTTATTGCAGCCTACCACTTAGTTAGTTAGCCTTTCCTATTGAACCCAGGTACCCAGAGGTCATAGCTCTCCATGCCTGGCGGTTTATTGCCACCTGTTTTAGGTCTTGGATGTTTTTTAGGCTAACGGTTGAGCCTTCCCTGATGATGGTTCTACACAGGGTCTCTCTTGGCCTGCCTCCCACTGCTAAAAGCAAATCGCTGTTATTTTCCAGGCTTTGAGTTTGATGGAGAATGTCAGCGAAATATAGTTTAATGAAACTCATTTTCAAGGGGTGTATACAGTATATAGGTATTCAAGGGAAATGACTCTAGTGAATTGTAATGGTTAGTATTTGTGGCATTATTTTGCACCAAGATGTAGATACAAATTTTGAAAACAGCTCATTTAACCTAAAAATTACTGCCAGAAGGACATGTGCAAATTTCAAGTGGCTACTATTCACCATCAGAGAAGACTTAACCATGAGTTGAACACTAATAAACATCCAGGACCTACAGCAGGTGGCAACAAAACGCAAGACATGGAGACCTATGACCTCTGTCCTATGCGCCACCCTAGACTCAAGAGGTCAGACAGACTAAGTAAGTAACTATTCACCATTTGGGAGGAGTTCCTGTGATTGATATACAGACAGTCATAGATATTTTGTTGTATAGTTTACGATTTCCACTCACACCAGATCTGGAGACAGCATTTGGTCTCTGTGATGTCTGTGTGGTGAGCATTCCCATGCCTCCCAAGATGCTGAAGGACCATGGCGTGTACAAGTTAGATGCCAAGGTTTGTTTTCTTGTTTCTTCCAGCAGACACCATCATCCTCATCATAATCATTGTCACTGTAATGGTGTCACAGTAAAAAGGCTGCATTAGCGCGGTCGCTAAGATACTCACTTTCAAATCCAGCTGCGACTCGCTGCAGGCCACGGCCGGTGTTCGAAACAGGGCAGTTCCTGGGGTTCACCCAGCCTCTAAGTAATTGGTACCAAGCTAACACTCTGGGGTAAATGGAGGAACGTCACTGAAGCTACGGAGTT